AGACCATCTACAAATGTTAAATCTTAAAATAAAATGTTAGGGTTAACACTGCATCTTTCTGCGGAAAAAATGCAGCGATTGATATATAGTTTATTTATAGTTATTTTCAAAGCTTCAATGTACCGTCAAAAAACCTTCATTATTGTTTATTTAATTCTAACAAGTAAGTTATTGTTAAAAACTAACCAAAATTTAAAATATTTCGCTTATCATTTTTGCACAGGAGAGACTTGGTGTTGTTTCCAAACAAAAGGAAATATATCGGTATCGGCCAAAAAGAGTTGAAAAATGTCGGCATATCGGATATCGGCAAAAATCCAATATCGTGCATCCCTACTAGCATACATTTAGATCACCTTAATACCACGGTAAAAATGTAACGATATGTTTTCTGCACAATGACTATAGCTTAATCAAAAAATACTGTAATTATATTCCATTACACTTTAATACATATCTACATTAATAATATAATAAAATTTGATATGAATATCCCATATCAAATGCTGTTAATGTTACTAAAGTAAATCCATTGTAAATGATGGCGATTTGTAATAATTAAATGTTAAATAAAGACATATATCATTTATGCATTTAATCCCATTTTATTAACCAATGTCTTTGCTACTGACCTTCGATGATCCAGTTCAACCATACGAAGCAAAAATGACACATTTGTTTCATTTTTGTTATTACTGAATAGTGTTGAACTTTCTTCTCCTGCGTCATATTCTTCAAGCAATTTGTTTGAGCTGCACCCTCTACTTTACAAACGTGAATTTACATTTCCTTCAGCCTGAGGCGTATTCATTTCACTTTTGTTGTGAAAAGGGCTTTTATTATTAAAAACAAACAAGCAGGCCCTGCCCAGATTTAAAAAGTAACTCAAAAGAAACATAACGCATTACTTTCCATAAAAAGTAACTAAGTAGCGTAATTAGTTACTTTTTTAGGGAGTAACACAATATTGTAATGCATTACTTTTAAAAGTAACTTTCCCCAACACTGTTTATGACTATAGCAAGTACATGTAACATGTAACCAATTTTTGTTCAATGTACATGATAACCATCAAATGTAATATGACATTCCGTGAAACCTAGTTCCAATCAAGAAGGCTTAATTTTTGAAAATTCAAAAATAAACAAATGGGAGGAGCCTAAGCCCTGCTCGGGTATAAGAAAAACTACGAGTGAGAAATGCAAAGCATAGCGCTGTTACCTGAAAGAGTCTTGTCATGATGTAGATGTAGGAGCCAGTCGCCGCCACAAGCATACACACAGCCAGACTGGCGTAGACATTCTTCAGGTGCTGCCGAGTCGAGCGAGAGCTGACCAGAAAAACACAACCGCTTTAACACATCATTCCTTTCTAGGGATGTAACGATATTATCAATATTGTGATATCAAAACTGTCTTGATATTATCTTGGTCACATGACAATATGAAACGATAGGTCTTCCGGGCAAAATAAACGTTTTTAAAATATATTTGTTTTCGGCCATTATTCTTTGGCACAATATCTGTCAAACGAACTAAAACTGAAAGCACAATATGGCTTAATCCTTTCATCAATCCTTTTTTTGCTGCGTGTTTTATACCGAAGCGCACACATTGTTCATGCGATCAGCTCGTGATCCGGTGTTTTGTGCGCCTCAGAACGGCTCTGTTCACACTGAATGAATGCAGTGAATTCGTTTATTGCACGTGCTGTGAGTTTAGCGCACGTTTGGGAACGCAACAGCCACAGACTGGCGTAGACATTCTTCAGGTGCTGCCGAGTCGAGCGAGAGCTGACCAGAAAAACACAACCGCTTTAACACATCATTCCTTTCTAGGGATGTAACGATATTATCAATATTGTGATATCAAAACTGTCTTGATATTATCTTGGTCACATGACAATATGAAACGATAGGTCTTCCGGGCAAAATAAACGTTTTTAAAATATATTTGTTTTCGGCCATTATTCTTTGGCACAATATCTGTCAAACGAACTAAAACTGAAAGCACAATATGGCTTAATCCTTTCATCAATCCTTTTTTTGCTGCGTGTTTTATACCGAAGCGCACACATTGTTCATGCGATCAGCTCGTGATCCGGTGTTTTGTGCGCCTCAGAACGGCTCTGTTCACACTGAATGAATGCAGTGAATTCGTTTATTGCACGTGCTGTGAGTTTAGCGCACGTTTGGGAACGCAACAGCCACCAGTTAGGCTTTATTTTCACGGCAGATGATTACAGCGTTTCACTGGATTTGTAGTGAGAGACGTTTTTGTAAGCCTGTTTTCACTGAAACTGGAGTTTTCCGTCAAAATAAAAGCTTTAAAGTGCAGAACGAATTGCTGACAGCTAGTGGTTTAAATGCAGCCCAAATACAAAAGATCTCTTTCAAGTGTAGAAATTAGGAAAGAAGTATTGTAATTTCCCTATTGTAGTGTAAAGCAAAAATAATATACCTATGAAATATTCATTTTCATTTATTTTACAGTGCAATTGTTTTACAATATATGGCTACTACTGTCTGGCTTCCTAAAACACCAATGTGAATGTAATTTAGACTGAGACAGTATATCACAAATATAAAGAGGGCCGAGTCCCCTTTAAAGTTCAGGTACAAGTCAATTCACTGACTTTTTTCTGACTCAAGTATTCTTAAGAACATGGGTTGGAGCCAGGGATCTGAACCGCTTCAAGGAACGTTTCGAACAGAATCGAAAATTTTAAATGGCCATTAACCGGTTAATAACGTTATTTTATCGCTCCATTTAATATTTGAAATTTGCTTTCAACCAATCACGAATTCCAGCAGTACAGCCTGCAAATGTGACGCTGACGCATCCAACGAGTGAAATGCCTGCTCAGCTGTGAGCTCATCATTAAGTCGCAATGGCATTGCACTGGCGTTAAGAGTTTGAAATATATTTCACTTAAATCATTGACCGATTAACAAAACGTAAGAAAAAAATGTGCTGAGTTTCGGTTTATTGTGACACGATCCAAAGTTCACGGAAAGGAAAACGAGACAGCAGAAAGTAGTTTTACAAAAGCTTTACGGTTTTATTTATTTTACAGTTATATTTATTTTGCAAAAGCTTGACAGTTTTGAATGTCTTGCTTCTATCTGTAAACCAGCGTTGGTATGGCACACACAGACAACATATTTTTGCGATATTGCAGCTTGTTCATTATCAAAATAAAATACAGTTAAAGAAACATAAGTAACACTGCTCCGTTGTACAATCGGTTGCGCTCAGCGTGACCAGCGCCTCACTGTGCTGATATGCGAAGGATGATGTTCGATGCGAGTGAAGTACAAAGCCCATTTCATAATAAATAATATTTTAGCACCCAGATACGTCACGAATATGAAAACATTTGGATTCGTGCCGAATGAGAGAGGTAGGCATCAGTTTCACCTTAAATTAATTAGTTTTTGGCTTGACATTTATATAGCCTAAACGCTTTAAATCGCCTTAACTTTAGAGGATTTGTTGTGGAGAGAAGGGAACTTTAGCCGTGTTCATAATGTTTGTAAACATTTTGCTTTACCAGTATTTTAGCCTACATTATTTCTGAATGTAATCATAATTACATTGACTTAGCTTATGTTTTTTTTTCCTCTCAAAATGCAATTTTATACGAGTTGTGTTGTTCAACAATGCAGCAAACATTTTTAAATATCTTGAAAAAATACTTTAATGTTTTTAAAGCGTTAACAGATTTTTTCTTTTGTTTAGTAGGCTACATTTGGCCAAAATCTAGAAAAGACTATGCTGTATTGGCTATGATTAAGCGCAGCAAGGTAAGATACCAGATTTGTTTTTTGTTTTGTTTTGTTTTAAGTAAAGAAAACGCTGTACTTTATTATTATTATTATTATTATAGGCAAAGAAAAAGTTAAAAAAATAACGTTATTAACCGGTTTTCGCGAATACATGAGGAACGCAAGAACAGAAACGTTAAAATATCGATTCTGCTCTGAGTGAACCGATTGAATTTTTTATTTTTATTTTTCAAGCCCTGGTTGGAGCTCTTAATTTTGAACTCTCAGTGCATTAGATAGAATAATTTAACTTTAAAATGTACAAAATTTCATTTGTCTTTTTAAATATCGCAATAAATATCGTACCGTGGACTTCATATTGCAATAATATCATATTGTGAGATTTTGATATCATTACATCCCTATTCCTTTCGTTACAATCTATTATAAAATTCTAGTTATTATAGTGTAGATATAATGAAATCAGAACCATGGGCATCATGAATATCATACAGACCTGTACACGTATAGAAATTACAGAGGTGATCAAAACACACTTACATTTGAGAGAACTTGAAGAGAGCGTCAAAGTTTATGTTGCGATCAAACACGTTCATTTTTCTGCTGCTTTAGTGATCACAGGAAACCACCTACATGAAGACACAGAAAACAGAAGAGATGGCTGTAGGAAAAATATTGATCATCTGTGTGAAGAACATCACTAACCCAAAATCCGTAAGAACCAATCAAATGGTCCTGTTCGCTAGGGCTATGCGATATTGAAGAAAAATGCGATAACTCATTAAATAATGCGATACGATAATGCTTAAAGTGCCACATGCTCAGATGAAACAGTTTTACTCCGCTGTTGCTCGGAGAAGATCTTGTTTACATCAAAACCGAAACCAAGCCATTCACACAGAACACATTTCACGCATTTTCTAGATGGACATCTATCAGCGCTGCACTCGCGTCTCGCACAAAAGAGCCGCATGTTTAGAAAGCCATGTAAAATTAA